CCCCCCCCCCCCCGGACAAAAAAAAGAAAGAAAGAATTATAAGGAGACTTTTCTTGTTTTAAAACAAGACGAGAATCTGATTATTTGATGCCTGCAAGTGTCTAAACTAAATATTCCAAGAGATAAGAAATCAAACTTTTTTGGCTGGCTGTGTTGATCCAACAAGCTAGCTGGTTCGACAAGAAACTAAAATGGCAGGCGATGGTGGCAACAGAGAACAAGAAGAAGAAGTCAGACACTTAGACTGCAAAGAAGAAGAAGAAGAGTCCGCGGTGAAAACAGTGCCCCTGTACAAGCTGCTCTTCTCGTTTGCAGATTCAACGGACAGTGTGTTAATGGCTGTGGGCATAATCGCTGCAGTTGCCAATGGTCTCTCCCTCCCCTTGATGACCCTTCTCTTCGGGGACATCACTAATGCCTTTGGACAAAACCAAAGCAACAACCACATCGTTCACGCCGTTTCTAAGGTAGTAGCTAGGATCAGAGTAATCAATAAGCCACCCAAATTCTACTACTAGCTAATTAACTTCAGCCTCTCTATATATAATGAGGTTGGTTCCCTTGTTATATGCAATTATCAACCTGTATTATGACGCAGGTGGCACTAAAATTTGTCTACTTGGCCTTGGGGTCTGGCTTAGCTTCCTTTCTTCGTAAGTACACCTACACACATACATATATACACTTGCAGCTTCAAAAAAAACTAGTCAATTTTGATCTTTATATATATCATGTTTGTGCACGTGTTGTTCGATTCAGAGATGAGTTGTTGGATGGTGAGTGGTGAGAGACAGGCTGCACAGATTCGGAATCTGTATTTGCAGGCCATCCTGAGGCAAGACGTTGCTTTCTTTGATAAGGAAACAAATACTGGAGAAGTTGTTGGCAGAATGTCTGGTGACACTGTTCTTATGCAAGATGCCATGGGCGAAAAGGTACAAGCCGAGCTGAGTGAGCATTCCATATATATATATATATATGCATAGATTTCACAAAGGGATCGGGCAACACAGCCATGTCATGAATGACACTCAAAGATTATTACAATTATGTAGGTGGGAAAATTCATTCAGCTAGTATCAACATTCTTGGGAGGCTTTGTAATTGCATTCGTCAAAGGCTGGCTTCTAACTTTAGTCATGTTGTCCTCTATACCACTGCTCGTCCTATCTGGTGGCATCATGTCTGTTGTCGTAGCCAAAATGGCATCCCGTGGCCAATCTGCTTATTCAAAGGCCGCTTCTGTGGTTGAACAGACAATAGGCTCCATTCGAACTGTAAGTACGTGTGTGGGTGCCTGAGCTACCTAAATTACTACATGTATGTATCCTCCTGATAACTTCAGCCACTCGATCTTTAATTAGGTTGCATCATTTACTGGGGAGAAGCAAGCTGTGGCTACTTACAACAAGTTACTTGAGAAAGCTTACCACTCCGGTGTACAAGAAGGGCTGGCGACTGGATTAGGTCTTGGGTCAGTTTATTTTGTCATGTTTTGCAGCTATGGGTTGGCTATTTGGTTAGGTGCCAGGATGATATTGGAAAAGGGTTACACGGGAGGAGAAGTGTTCAGTGTTATTATTGCGGTGTTGGCTGGTTCCATGTCCTTAGGGCAGGCATCTCCTTGTATGAGTGCCTTTGCTGCAGGCCAAGCTGCAGCCTTCAAGATGTTCAAGACTATAAACAGGAGGCCATCCATAGATGCATATGACACCACAGCAGGTAAAATACTGGATGATGACATCCGTGGAGATATTGAACTGAGAGACATCTACTTCAAGATCCTGGTCTGGCTGGATAACTGAAGTAGATGTCTCTCAGTTCAATATCTCCACGGATGTCATCATCCAGTATTTTACCTGCTGTGGTGTCATATGCATCTATGGATGGCCTCCTGTTTATAGTCTTGAACATCTTGAAGGCTGCAGCTTGGCCTGCAGCAAAGGCACTCATACAAGGAGATGCCTGCCCTAAGGACATGGAACCAGCCAACACCGCAATAATAACACTGAACACTTCTCCTCCCGTGTAACCCTTTTCCAATATCATCCTGGCACCTAACCAAATAGCCAACCCATAGCTGCAAAACATGACAAAATAAACTGACCCAAGACCTAATCCAGTCGCCAGCCCTTCTTGTACACCGGAGTGGTAAGCTTTCTCAAGTAACTTGTTGTAAGTAGCCACAGCTTGCTTCTCCCCAGTAAATGATGCAACCTAATTAAAGATCGAGTGGCTGAAGTTATCAGGAGGATACATACATGTAGTAATTTAGGTAGCTCAGGCACCCACACACGTACTTACAGTTCGAATGGAGCCTATTGTCTGTTCAACCACAGAAGCGGCCTTTGAATAAGCAGATTGGCCACGGGATGCCATTTTGGCTACGACAACAGACATGATGCCACCAGATAGGACGAGCAGTGGTATAGAGGACAACATGACTAAAGTTAGAAGCCAGCCTTTGACGAATGCAATTACAAAGCCTCCCAAGAATGTTGATACTAGCTGAATGAATTTTCCCACCTACATAATTGTAATAATCTTTGAGTGTCATTCATGACATGGCTGTGTTGCCCGATCCCTTTGTGAAATCTATGCATATATATATATATATATGGAATGCTCACTCAGCTCGGCTTGTACCTTTTCGCCCATGGCATCTTGCATAAGAACAGTGTCACCAGACATTCTGCCAACAACTTCTCCAGTATTTGTTTCCTTATCAAAGAAAGCAACGTCTTGCCTCAGGATGGCCTGCAAATACAGATTCCGAATCTGTGCAGCCTGTCTCTCACCACTCACCATCCAACAACTCATCTCTGAATCGAACAACACGTGCACAAACATGATATATATAAAGATCAAAATTGACTAGTTTTTTTTGAAGCTGCAAGTGTATATATGTATGTGTGTAGGTGTACTTACGAAGAAAGGAAGCTAAGCCAGACCCCAAGGCCAAGTAGACAAATTTTAGTGCCACCTGCGTCATAATACAGGTTGATAATTGCATATAACAAGGGAACCAACCTCATTATATATAGAGAGGCTGAAGTTAATTAGCTAGTAGTAGAATTTGGGTGGCTTATTGATTACTCTGATCCTAGCTACTACCTTAGAAACGGCGTGAACGATGTGGTTGTTGCTTTGGTTTTGTCCAAAGGCATTAGTGATGTCCCCGAAGAGAAGGGTCATCAAGGGGAGGGAGAGACCATTGGCAACTGCAGCGATTATGCCCACAGCCATTAACACACTGTCCGTTGAATCTGCAAACGAGAAGAGCAGCTTGTACAGGGGCACTGTTTTCACCGCGGACTCTTCTTCTTCTTCTTTGCAGTCTAAGTGTCTGACTTCTTCTTCTTGTTCTCTGTTGCCACCATCGCCTGCCATTTTAGTTTCTTGTCGAACCAGCTAGCTTGTTGGATCAACACAGCCAGCCAAAAAAGTTTGATTTCTTATCTCTTGGAATATTTAGTTTAGACACTTGCAGGCATCAAATAATCAGATTCTCGTCTTGTTTTAAAACAAGAAAAGTCTCCTTATAATTCTTTCTTTCTTTTTTTTGTCCGGGGGGGGGGGGG